GGCATCAACTCTCTTCTTCTCTTCCTCACAGACTCGGGGTAATCTTCGTTGATGTAAATCTTGGTTCCCTTAAGCTTCTTGGCTTGCTGCAGAATGTTTGTCTTATCTTTCTCCTTCATCAACTTAACCATCACCGCCCTCGGTCCGTGATCAGAAAGATTCCCAACTCCGTAAACCCGTTCCATCTCTATATCTTGATGAATTTGCAGTTTGTCCTTTAAAATCTCCTTCACCTTGCACTCCGCTTCCGTCCAGCTTTCTCCAGCTGACTCCTTGATTCCCTCGAAGATCAGGTTTTTTTGCTTGGACTGTGCTTCCAATTGCTCCATTTTATATGTAATAGTTATTAGACTCTCACAGGTTTTGTAGACGTCCCGCCTAGTGTCTTCGGCAATTTTTTCCTGCACCCCCATGGCCGCTTTTATCGCGTCCACATCTCGCTGGGTAAACTGCAAATTCGTTTTTATCTCCTGCATTTCTTTGGTCATGTCGTCGAGTCTCTTGTTATTTGTCTCCATAATTAGTTTCACAAAGCCATGGAAACTTTCATGCTGTTGGCACATAAGCGTGGTGAACATCAGCTTCTGCTGATTCAACATCTCAGCTACTTGCGCCGCTGAAATAGAATCTTCTTCAGCCTCAACATCCTCGCTCGCTTCGGATTTATTAGCTCTTTTCCCTCTTGGAGGCATTTTAGTAGTTGAGGAATTTGTTCAAAGACTTGACAATGTAGAAGATGTGAAAAATCGTAGAACAGACAAGAGTAGCAGTAAAGACGTCTGCTCTCGCTTGCAACCCGGAAAAACATTTGATAAAAAATATTAAAGGCATTAGGAAAGCAAGACCTCATAAAAGATCAGATGGTCTGCTGTAAACTTCTATGTAGGGCACTGGTGTTTTCTTTTAAGGCCCATTTTCATTTATATTTGGTCAAAATGGCGTTGCTAATAGCATGTCAGAACAGCAATCAGCAGTTCCGGTTTCTAATGCCACCATGAATGTACAAACTATAACTAGATTACTCTGATAGTAAAGAAAATGAGATGATCCTCAGTAAAGTTCTGAAATACTTTCTTCTATTATTTCTCACTGGATTTATGGTTTAGTCACAATGGACTTGGAAATAACGATATGCCTAGGAAGTATAAGACATCGAATAAAAAAAATACATATGTATGTGAATCCTGAGTTATGACTGAGATTATGTAAGATTTTTGTCTCAAATTCACTTTGAACAGTAGCTTGCACTGCCTAATGAGGCTTTTGTTGTCCCCTTTTTGCTCTGTCATGCTTAATATCCATATTTATTATCAACTATATTCTGTAATTTCACAATGGTTAAAATGCTGTCTGGAATTTGAAATAAATTACAAATGAGCACAGTGAGTATTTCATTCACTATCTCCCCTTCTAATGTCAGTTCTTTCCAAAAGGGGCTTGAGAGAGACATTGTTTCTGGAACAAAATGTTGTTGAATTTTTATGTTCTATTTTTATGCTGTGAGCACCACAGGAAGTAGAGGCAGAAATCTAAGAGACAGATATCTGGACAAACAAGACAAAAATATCTCCATGATGAGATGCCACTTGGGGCAATTGAGAAAATCTGCTTTTTGTAATTTAGGTGATCTGACTCTTTAAGCTTATCAACTTAAAAGCTTCAAATCAGCACCAGCAGGATTCAAGGCTGTGAAACTAATAGCACCTCAAACAACTAAAATGCAGAAGTGTTGACCCAGCAGCTGTATCATCCTTTTTACTTTGTCTGATATAATGTAACTTGCCAGGTGCTTTTCAAAATAACAATAAAATGACTATTATGCTTACATCAATAAATAAAGGCTTTAATAAATATCAAGTTATCAAGGCTTAAGGCCAGCTTCTTCACAGAGGCTGTGAGAGTGAAAAACTCCCTACCTCAATAACTGAACCTTCTAAATGTTCAACCCTATAATACTTACAGTGACAGATCCCAGATTGTGCAAAAGGCTTGAAGTGTAGTTGAGTGTCTGAGACTCTCCTTTTAGGATGCCAACCAGGTGCCTCCATACACAACGCAGCATCTCCTGCACACAAAAACACATATACACATGTATAAATTAAAAAGCCCATGACATGCTTCTCCTTGTTTTCTGACTTATCTACAATGTTACAAAGTTGAATTATCAACTTAAACATGATCTAAAGCTAAAAAAAAAAAAAAAAAGAGGCGTACATATGTTCGAGTATTTCAATGCAGAAGCAAATCTGTTTATACACATCTCGCAAACTCTCGCTCGAAAACATTTTTCTAACATAATAAAGTACGTGATCGTTTAAGTATTTCCTTGAATGGTCATAATCTCCAGGCAGTTACGTGATCATGTGAACTTGCCTCATATCCACAAGTGCCACTGTAAAAGCAGAATTTTTCGACTGCGCCTGATTTTATGGATTTATGGATATATTTTGCCTCCTGCTGCTGCACTGTGACCAGAGGATGTGGACAGAAATACAGGGCCTGGGGTTACTGCATGTCCAGGAATGTTCCCGTACAGAGACTTGCCATTTTACCTGACCAGGTCTAGCCTACAAGCATCCGGCCCGTGAAGCCCCCACAGCAGTGAATGATCAGCTCATCCAGCATTGGATTCCCCTGGAGCACAGATCCCGTTTGTTTTAACTGCTTGAGACCAGTGTGTCTGCTGCAGGTGAAGTGTTGTGGCTTAATGAGCAGATTAACAACCCGTGATGTTATTGTCAGTGCTATGCTACCTGTTTGAATTAATTTCACTACTTTGGGCCTGTATGTGGTCGTGTGAGGGAAGATGCAGCAACCACCAGTTGGATTTACCGACCATGGAGCTACATGAAAGGGAGTGATGTTTCCACTACTCAGTGGGACATAAAAGTAAACAAATTCCTTGTGTGTGTAACATACTTGGCCAAATAAAGTAATTATCCTTATCCTTAATTGTTGTAAGGCTGGAGAAGTTATTATGTCTGCATTATGCCAGTTAAGACATGGGGTTTCTCAATTACCCAGTTTGTTTAGAGTGTTACGCATCTCTTTTCACCAGTACATATACCATTGCTTACCTCTCTATGGAGGGGAAATTCCAATTAATTAATGCTGCTGCAGTTTCTATGTGCTTTTGACAACACTGGCAGCAGGAGGTGTGTGTGTCCACCAACTATCCTCTCGTTTTTAGGAAGAGGCGCTCTGATTTTATCATTCTGAAATAATTAGACTATTTGGAGTTATGATCGGTGCAAAGCTAATCTAGAGGTGCCCGAGATTAAACATTAAATGGCTGGAAATGAGCAAAATGAGCATGCCATGGCCACTTTAAGTTAAAGAGCTGCTTTCTACTGGAGGACGGACATGTCTCAATATATGAATACATCAAATTCTAAACTGTAACGTGACAAGCATAAATAATAATAAATCAATTTAAATGGAAAATTTTTTAAACTAGCTTTAAGTAACAAGGAAAAAGAAAATTAAATTCAGCTTTGCCTAAAATGCCAAAACTGGTTTGAAAACAAATAAATAACTCTTAATCATTGTTGTGTTTGCACAGCATTATAAAAAAAAAAAGACAAAGCTTCTAAATTACAGTGCTTGGGGAGGTGGAGGTGGTAAAGCATTGTGCAAGCTGCAGCATTTTGTGAGTGATCCAAAACATGAATCCATGCAGATTTCATTGTACTTTGGATGGTGTCTATGATGACTGGTTCTGCAGGAAACAAAGCAGAAACAACCACAGCCTGCTCATGGAAAGTTTCCTAAATGTTTTCCTTCCTTGCCTCCTCTCTTTATCGTCTCCTCTATTTAGCTATGCCTTGCCCCAGAAATGCATCTTTCCTGCATATTCTCGCTTAATACATCAATGATGAGAACAGGCAGCACATATTGAAACCATGCCCAATTGTCAAAGTCTTCACCCAAGACACCTGCAATGTTTCAGAGCAAAGAATACTCATTTTTTCATGATGTTGAAAGCTAATTTTATACACTGGGCAGTATTTTTAATCATTCACATTTGTCTGGGTGGGTAATAACACAGTTTCCTGTGGTGTGACAAACTCAGATCTGTTAAGGAGAGCAAGAGATACCTATAAGTAGCATCATGGAAGTGACTGCCTCACAGACAGGTTTATCAGCAGGGACATCACTTTAAAAAAAAACTAAAGTCAAACATTTGATCAAACCCACAGCACCCAAAATACTAACCTTTGAAAAACTGCCAGTATGTGACAACTGATGCTGTAACCAAGTCAAAAATATTTTCATTGTAATTTCAAAGGAGATAAGGAAAGGAAACAAGGACAGGAAAGCCTAGAGAATTCCCTGCACCACGTTATATTGAGGTGTATTAGTCATGCAGTGTAGGCAGACAGACAAAAGGGTCTGGTCAGGCAGGGTCAGGCACAAATGTTCAAGTGAAAATCCCTCTCAGGGCCATTTTATTTCTACATCTGGAGCAATGCTGAAGCCAGAGACAAAACACCGATGGTTACAGACCAGTGGTAATCCAATAATGACTGCTGATATGCTTTTTTTTTTTTTGAGCACTACAGCTCGGCAATAATGAAAGACAATGACTGGATTTGGTCAGGAACTGAGAAGTGGTGGTAACAGTTATATCCATGAGGTGAGAAAATGATCATAAAGATGCAAGACAACATGTCAAAAATGACTGAAGGCATCCGAGTATAAACTTGCATCCAGAGGTGCAAAGTCAAGACTGACTAATAATCTCAGATGAAGAGTGACCAAAACCAAAGAGCCAAAGAAGAAAAAAATATCATGTTGTGCAAGAAGAATAAAGACAGAAAAGTACTATTACAGCAAAAAAAGGCAATGAACAAATTGGCTGAACACAGAAAGGAGATGTGAATCAAAAAATGTATATAAAGACCTCCATGATGAAGAAATCAATGGATGATTGAGGGTGAGGCGGTGTAGGTGGGAGGGCAGTGAGAGCTGTGTAAGGGGATTACAAAGGGAGAGCTGCTAAAGAGGAGGAAAGCGGGCAAGCGAAGACAGGTGGATTCAGGTGAAGCTGGAAGCCAAGCAAGTGGAGGAGGCGAGGATGGAGCAAGATAGCAAGAGGTTATACCTGGGAAGAAACCATTTCCGTGTAGCTGCTTAGAGTGTCCTCAGAGAATTTAGCAAGCTTGGGGCAAGAGAAGAGTCCAGTTAAACCACAGAGGGAGGCCCTTGCTGCATCTCCTCTTTGTGTTTGCACGCACCTGTGTGTTGTGTGTGTTACGGTTAGACTGAAAAGGTTCTTAACTGAAGGTACCAATAACCAGCATAGAAACACAAATTTGACTGAATCCGAGCGTAACAGGAACAACACACAAGTTCATGAATACTTACAGTACAGTAAACATTCATAGAGTATCAGATTTGTTGGTGTTTTAGCTCTGTACTCTATCAGATTTTAAGTATTTGAAAACAAGGCTGCCAATAAAAGCAGAATTGTGTTAACACAGTACAAACTATGGTGGACACAATGCCATGCGACCTGTGACCGTGCCTTCAGATGTCAGGGCTCAGTAATGTTGACTTTCACTCTGACCTAATCTAAGGGTGTTCCCATCCATACTTGCTGAACATTCTAGGAATTGTTGCCCACTTTAATGACCATGTGTCCTGCCCAGTTCCATCCATCCATCCATTTTCTTCCGCTTATCCGGGACCGGGTCGCGGGGGCAGCAGTCTAAGCAAAGATGCCCAGACTTCCCTCTCTCCAGACACTTCCTCCTGCTCCTCTGGGGGAATGCCAAGGCGTTCCCAGGCCAGCCGAGAGACATAGTCCCTCCAGCGTGTTCTAGGTCTTCCCCGAGGCCTCCTCCCGGTGGAACATGCCCGGAACACCTCCCCTAGGAAGGCGCCCAAGAGGCATCCGAAACAGATGCCCGAGCCACCTCAGCTGGCTCCTCTCGATGTGGAGGAGCAGCGGTTCTACTCTGAGCTCCTCCCGGGTGACCGAGCTCCTCACCCTATCTCTAAGGGTGCGCCCGGCCGCCCTGCGGAGAAAGCTCATTTTGGCCGCCTGTATCCGGGATCTTGCCCTTTCGGTCATGACCCAAAG